ACTTCAATCGCTTCTGTTTTTGTGACGAACAGGGACGAGCGAAGCCGTAGGTGCTTCCTCTGTATCGGGAGGGCCACAACCCTCCAGCCTTCTGACCCGGCTATCGAACGTCTCATAAATCCCTTCTATTCCCCTGGCGATTTAAGCAAGCACTTCAAACGATGTCATCTCTCCAACCTTCAACTCAACGAAAAGCTCTATTGCCGCCTGTGTGATGAGACGTTAGATCATAAGATGCACTTGCAACACCATGCTGAGACAGTACACGGGACTATATCACATGGAGGATGATTTTTATGAACTTAGCATGGAACAATCTTTGGCGATTTATGTGGCGAAGCCTTCTGTTATTTTGGGATTATCTCTTGAATAAGGTTTGCTTTAAGGTGTAAGATTGTCGTTGGGAAGATGAAAAGGTAACCTACACAGAATTTTTTAAATTAAGTTAGATTAAATTCGTCTATTCCCTACTACTTTTTAGCTGCAAACATCGCCTTACGCCATTCCTGGTAACTGTATACACTAAACGCGGCCAAAATGCATCGCAGCCCTCTTGCTCCGTGCCGTAACTAGAATAGAGTCTTTTTGACAAAAACAGACATATTTATATACTTTACAGCAGCTTGACGATCGCCTCATGCCCATTCTTAGCCGCCAACGATAACGGTATCCGTCTGCCCTCATCCTTGGCATCTAGGTCGACTTTACCAGTACCAAGCAGCAGCTTAACGATTGCCTTATGCCTGCCCTTAGCCGCCCACTATAACGGCATCTGTCTGTAGTTATCCTTAGTATCTAGATCGACTTTACCAGTGCCAAGCAGCAGCTTAACGATTGCCTTATGCCCGTTTATAGCTGCCTACAGTAACGGCATCCATCCGTCTTTATCCTTGGCATCTAGGTCGACTTTACCAGTGCCGAGCAGCAGCTTGACAATCGCCTCATGCCCGCCCTTAGCCGCCCACTATAACGGCATCCCTCTGTAGTTATCCTTAGCATCTAGGTCGACTTTACCAGTACCAAGCAGCAGCTTAACGATCGCCTTATGCCCATTCTCAGCCGCCAATAATAACGGCGTCCCTCCGTATTTATCCTTAATATCTAGGTCGACTTTACCAGTGCCAAATAGCAGCTTGACGATCGCCTTATGCCTGCCCTTAGCTGCCCACTATAACGGCATCCGTCTATAGTTATCCTTAGTATCTAGGTCGACTTTACTAGTGCCGAGCAGCAGCTTAACGATCGCCTTATGCCTATTCTTAGCCGCCAATAATAACGGCATCCCTCCATACTTATCCTTAGCATCTAGGTCGACTTTACCAGTGCCGAGCAGCAGCTTGACGATCGCCTCATGCCTGCCCTTAGCCGCCAACGATAACGGCATCCATCCTACCTTATCCTTGATAAGTAGATCTACCATTCCTTCTAGCTTCTTTACATCTCCCTTTTTCCAACGGCCGTGACCTAGGCAAGCCAATTCTAAGTTGTCCATGCTTCTCAATGTACTCTCAAAAATCTCTATTGCTTTTCGGAGATTCTCCCCTGCCTCATCTCTTTCCATATCTTGTAATGCCACTCCAGTGTTCCATAACCTGGTAACTTTATCCAGATAATCTTCCAGCTGTGTCTTTGAACACTTCGACATTGGGGCGTCCATGAAGTGTTCGTAGTCTTCTTCGTCCTGCGACTTTTCTAGATACATATCCCAGTTCCAGACAAGTAGAAAATCATGTGGGAAGGTTGTTATCAGTCGCAAAAGTTCCGACTTGGTATCCCTGCTCGCAGCTTGTGGATCATCTGGAGGGGGAACTGCAATCATCATAATGGCCCAATAATCGTTGCATAGCCTAATGATTGTAGCCGATGACGCTCCTTGTATAAGGCAGACAGCATCCCCTGCCCGGACAGATTTTGCTGAGGCCTGGAAGGTCCAGCGAGAATCCGGCCCCCCATAGCCAGACTCATTCTTCCAAGTAATACCCACGTGCTGTCTGTCTTCCCAATTATCATCTCTTTCGACCGAAGACACTTCGCCTAAAATGCAGCCCTTGCCCCTGATTACCGCTATCTCCTTATCGTCCCAAGTGTCTACAGACACCCTTTCAGAGAGGAAGAAGTTGACGAGTTGCTGGAAGAGTCGTCCCCATGAAATCTCATAGTTGGCCGATAACCCTGCGATGATAGGATCATCAGAGCTCATGCCGAGCAATGCATAAACTTTGTCGCGTCGCTCAGTAGCTTGGCGAGTGTGGTACATATCTACTAGCGTACCTAGAGGGCATATGTCTAGGGAAAACCTGCCTGACCGACTAGTTGCGCATCTAGGCCGGAAGACCGCGCCCCTTATGAGGTAGGATACTGAACGGATCAGAGGCCGCAGGTCTGGATGGGTTCGATAGGACAGGTTCAATGCATTTAGGCCCGAACAGAACGCATATCCGTCAATCTCGGTGGGACCACATTTGATCAGTACATGTCGGGCTGCGGCAACCTCCTGAAGCACCTGAATCGACTTTGTCAGTAATCTCGTTCCATATTAGTGATTGCCTGTTTCCTAACCCAGATGCGTTGAAACCACGGTCCCTCTAGCAGTCCAAGGATTGCGCTTTCGTTGATTGGGCGCTTCGTGCGCTGCTCTGTTGCGATGCGTATTTCTTCAAGCGCTTGATCGCTGTCGGGTGTCGCTCCTCCAAGCCAAACAATTACACGACTTGCTTTGGCATAGATCTTCGCCATAGACTGAACCTGCTGTCCTTTTTCCTTCGGGTCTCGTTGGTTGATGCAAATAGCATCTATCCATATGGTTCGTTCAATGGAGCGATCTCGAAGATGTGATAGCGCCATGTAAAGGTTTTCCCCGATGGGCAAGTCGCAGCCGTCTATAGAGATAGACTGAGGCTTGTTCTCAGAACCCCATACGTAGGATAGAGCCGAGTACGGACGAGTGCTTCCTGAGTCCGCTAAGGCGCAGTCAAAGAGCCGGCATTGTATGGGGGCATGCTCGTCTTGATGCGGCAATAGCCGAAGCAAGCGAATACTGCCCTCCAGCAAAGAAGAGTAACAGTACAAGGGCGGTGGAAGAGACATGGCATACCGGAGCTCGCTCTGCGTGTGTTGAGATTTCCGCAGGTGTGATTGTTGACCTTTTATGTGGGACAGCCACGTCTTTGTGTGATTTGCGTGCGGGGAGGCCTCAGCAGCTGAAAAGGACCCCTGTAGTCAGGTGCAGCTTGTGAGTCCAATAGGATAACAGATGAAGATGACTAAGGAACTTAAGGAAGCTGTTGCAAAGCAGGAAAAAACAGTGCACGAGATGGGCAAGCAGATGGTGGAGATCAAGGAACAGATGACCGAGGAACTGCAGCGCGTCCGCGAACAGCTCAAAACTATCGCTACGAATGCAATGGACGGACCCCAACGATCATATGCTGACGCCACACTACTGACACCGTTCTTACCCCACAACGATTCGAGGACCTTAGTCGCTCCTCCGAACCCGACAGACGTTCTCTACTGCACGATTGGCGTTTCAAGACTAGGAGAAGATGAAGCTAGGCTCTCAGCCGGGACGATCCGAGCGACAGTGGAGAGCGAAGTCCGCTCCGAACTGGGTAATCCCACGTGGCGATGCCGAGCGGTGACCAAGGACCCACCGCGTCAGGATCACCTGCAGGGACGAGAACGAGCATGAGATTGTGAAACGCGTAGCGGAAACAAAACTGGCCCCAGGAGCCCGGATCCTACGAGACGACCTGTGCCCTATCAGAGTAATGCCAGCCGTATTGCGGTGCTAAACGAGAAGAACGAAGTTCGCGTTGAGATCACCGAGATGCTCGGCCGAGAAAATGACACCGAGGTGGCAAAGATAGCATGGCTCAGGAAGAGAGACATCCCCAAGGCGTATGGATAGAGCGAAATGAGGTTGGTTGGCGCAAGATGGTAAAAACCAACCCTTGCCTCAATGAGACTCAGGCCTTAACTGTATTACGCGACTACTTATAGAGCAAGGCTTTAATCAGTGTTTGCTCGGATGTATTAAAGATATAGTGAGACAACTAGCTGGTCATTAATGCTTCAAAACTTCGAATCTCCTGGCCGCCGTCAGAAGGAGTGAATGATTGTGTGTGTGTCTGCGACTTGAATTTTCTGAAGCTCAGCTGATGATTGAGAGTGAGGTTGCTTCCATGTACACTTAGCTACCACAGGCCATTCGCTCTGTAGTTCGTAGTAGTAAAACCGAGATATAGACTCAGAAAATTTCGTCGATGGTCCCTCCAGGTGTAGCATCTGACTATACTACACGGTGTGTTATCTTGTCTGTTACACGAATGCTAAACCGGGCTTATAACAGTGCCACAGAACGAATTTCCGGCGCGGAAAACGCCAAGTGGCTTGGTCTTCAGAATGGAGATAATTCCGTGTAAATAAAATAGCCGTGCAGGCACTATGTGTATATCAAAAAGGGCCAGTTGCTCAATCCGTGTTTCTTAGCTAGATTCCCGAGGACCTGCCAATCTCGAGTTCGTGATGTATTCGTTACTCATCTTCCTGAGCACGGCGATATTCTCTGTAACGACATGGCCGGAACAAGGGTCTTGCGTCGCCCAATACTGGGCCAATGGATGGATATATATTATTCTCGGCCTAAGGTTCCACGAACAAAGACTGCAGACCGTAAAAGTCGGAAGATTCCAGTGCTCCCCAAGCCGTCAATTGACGTTCAGCTTGCTCATGATGATTGAAGGCAGATAGCTGGTACGCACTTAAACCATAGAAATCTTCGGCATCAATATCAACCTTACCAGTATCAAGAAGTATCTTAACCACAGCCTCGCGTCCATTCCCAGCGGCCCACAATAACGGCATCCAGCCATACTTTATATCTCTTGCATCAACATCAACCTTACCAGTATCAAGCAGCATCTTAACTACAGCCTTATATCCATTCCCAGCAGCCTATAATAACGGCATCCGACTATAATCTATATCTCTTGCATTAACATTAACCTTACCAGTATTAAGCAGCATCTTAACCACAGCCTCACATCCATCCCCAGCAGCCCACAATAATAGCATCTAGCCATACTCTATATCTCTTACATTAACATCAACCTTACCAGTATCAAGGAGTATCTTAACTACAGCCTTATGTCTATTCCTAGCGGCCCACAATAACAGCATCCAGCCATACTCTATATCTCTTACATTAACATTAACCTTACCAGTATTAAGCAGCATCTTAACCACGGCCTCACATCCATTCCCAGCGGCCCATAATAACGGCATCCAGCCATAATCTATATCTCTTGCATTAACATCAACCTTACCAGTATCAAGCAGCATCTTAACTACAGCCTCACATCCATTCTCAGCAGCCCACAATAGCAGCATCCAGCCATAATCTGTATCTCTTACATCAACATCAACCTTACCAGTATCAAGCAGCATCTTAACCACAGCCTCATATCCATTCTCGGCAGCCCACAATAACGGCATCTGGCCATAATCTATATCTCTTACATCAATATTAACCTTACCAGTATCAAGCAGCATCTTAACCACAGCCTCACATCCATTCCCAGCAGCCCACAATAGCGGCATCCAGCCATAATTTATATCTCTTACATCGACATCAACCTTACCAGTATCAAGCAGCATCTTAACTACAGCCTCGCATCCATTCCCAGCGGCCCACAATAGCGGCGTCCGGTCATAATTATCTCTTGCATCAATATCGACCTTGCCAGTATCAAGCAGCATCTTAACCACAGCCTCGCGTCCATTCTCGGCAGCCCGCGACAGCGGCGTCTGGCCATACTCATCACTTGCATCGATATCGATCTTGCCAGTATCAACGAGCAGACATGGTAGTAGTTTTGTCAGGCCGTGTCTTGCAACGATGTGCACAAGATTACTCCCGTTTGGCGGGCAATCATCTTCGTAAGGCTCCAATGCCTCGTATATCCGCACCCATGATTCAACCAGGAGCTCTGTCGGCCATCCAAGTAGATGCACGAGATCGTTCGGGGCCTCTTCGGCTGGGTCGCCCAACTTTACGTGAGACACCCATGACGTTGTGGCATAGTGCAACAAGGGGAATCTTGACTTGCCCTCCTCGCTAAGGAATCCTGACTGAGATAGTACAACCATTCTGAAGTAGCGGATACAGGAACGGGAGAGGCGGCAATGAACAGTTGGGATCACCAGATTTGCTGCTTTCGTGGTATTATCCAGAGCGTTCAATCCACCCCTCATGAAAAAGTCCTTAACTGACTGGTGAATGAATTGAACGACGCGGGCATTTCTAGACTGTACGGTCTCTGCGAGACCGCAGCTGAGGGCGCTGATTCTTATGTCGATCTTGTCGTCGGCGATGAAATCATCCGACTTTTGGTATTCCCCGAGTGACTTTTGAGTATCGTCAGAGTCAACTATCATAGCCCATCGGAGCTCGTCCGTTGCCAATGGCCTCGTAGAGAAACAGATCCATTGCATTAATTTCGAGGTGACCGAGGCATTCTCCACGCCCCGAATTAGCCCGCGGTACAGCTCGCCTAAAGTTTGGGGTATCAGCTTGATCTCGGTCTTAATCTTGGCCCGCGACTCCCCCTCACGCTTCAGCTGCAGGACGCGATCCACGACAAGGCGTGCCCATAAGAAAACGCCTTGGGCGCGATCCGATATCAACTTTTCGACATCTGCGTCCGGATCACACGTGGAGAAGCGCTCTTTAATGTATCTAGTGATATCTGCAGTGATGCCTTCGTTGTCTTTGGGATTGAGCGATATAGTTGATCCGCCTTTAAGTTGTAGGATGGGGTAGTGGCGACAGGAGAAGAAGATGCCGAATCGAGAATCCGTTGGTGGGAGACTTGAGCGTAATCTCTTAAAATATTCGACTAACCCGACAGCTGATTGTTTCCCGCACTCATCGAGCGCATCGATGAAGAGGATGACTGAAAACCTCTTCAGAATTATTGGAAGTGACGACTCGAGGAAAGCCTGCAACTTTTCTAGATGCCACTGCCACTTCTCTCCAGGCTCGCTCTCGGTTGCTCGTTTATCCTCAAAATATTTGATCAGGTCGGGTACGGCGCCAGGGACACACTTGAGCAACTGGTGCAGAAGGGATCGGAAGAGACCAATCGGGGTTCTCTGTAGTTCATGACCACGACCATGGAAAAAGAAAGAAAATACCAGCGTCTCTTTTCCATAAATTGGAGGAAGTGCATCCTTGGCATATTTCACCAGCGTTGACTTGCCAGATCCAGGATTTCCCTTGATCCACAAAAGGCCTCGATCTTGATGGATCCATTCGATCAAGGTTTTATGATTGAGAAGCCATTTGCATGTGCCGTCGGCTGCATTGTCGATTTTGACTTGCCTGCCGTCCATGTCCTCAAAGGCTAATGATTTCAGGCAGGCTTTCATTGTCTCCGATAGGGGCTGGTGGAGGCCTGCACTATAGAATCAGATGATGTTCGCTGGATGCCTAAAAGCTACATACTATGCTCCGCGAATCGTTTAGCAACCTCCAGCCTCGCCTCATCGACAAGTCGTCTTAGTCGTTCTCTGACGATGGTATAGTCGCCCTGGTTCCTGGAATCATACTTAACAAGTCCAGAATGATCTGTGTTAAGGGCGATGTTGTCCTCCTCGGCGACGGCTACCAAGCCCGTGCTAGTAGTCGATTTTTCTGTGACCAACAAAGAGGGGCGGCCAGTCTTGCGCCACTTGCCGTCTTGATTAAGCTATGGGATCAGTCAGCGTCAACTCAACCGTTTCTGGTGATATATCTAACCTCTAGGGTTGGGCTCAGCCTACGCTCAAAGAAAGTCACGACCTTGTAGTGGCCTTTGCAGCTCTCTGAAAATTGGTCGGCGAGTCTCTTCAGGAAAGCCGATGGCTCAGAGTCGCTGTCGACGAGGAGATCGTGAACCAAGGCCTCATTGGGCTGGCCTCGGACAAGAGTCCTCAGTTGGTCGTTTCGTAGGCCGAGGTTCGGCACGCCGAAGAAAAGAAGTCCATAAGAGGCTTTGGATAGGTCAGAGTTTGCATTACTGCATCTTCTGCGCGCACGAACAAGCGCCTGTAGCAATCAGTTAGATGCTGTACAATGACGGCGGGACACCTCACCTCTTTGATGAGTAGGCCGCCAAGGCTGTGGCCGGTGAAAATGATTGGGCGGTGAGAGGTCTTCAGGTATTAGTTTAAGCCAGATAACATCGTGAATCACGTACCCCATCACTCGCACGATAGGCAATGATTTGTTCCAGTAAGGCACCACCCAAGTCTTCAATGGACTGCTTCGAGAGGCTGCCTGGCAGCGTGGTATCATAGCCGTACAGTAGCACCCGGATATTGGGCACATCGGAAAGGAAGTCGCGTAGCCAGACGTCGTCACTGTTCGGGGATTTCCAGGAGCCGAGTGCGTGGCTTCCGAGGCCGGGTACTGCTATGATGCTGGAGGAGTCAGCATGGGAAAGAAATGTCGCCGGCGGCCAGGCTCACTCGACATCTGCACCGTTCTTGTCCTCATAGAGCGGCGTGATTCCCTCGAATTTGCAGGTATAGTTATATGGGTAACTATTCCTGGCTCGGCGCAGCTGAGCGGACAGGTCATCTGCGGAGAGCGATGTCTTGATCGAGACAGTAGCACAGAGGGAGTCCTTGCCATGTGACACCAAAGAGCGACAGATCATAGGATTCGCATCTCCCTGCAGGTCCAGAATCTTGTCAATAATAGACTTCAGGTTGCGATCCAGGTTATCGACATGATCTGCAGGAATCTCGTCGATGCGTAGTGTCAGGCTCTTTTTGGTCTTCGGTGATGAAGTCTCGGCTGGGGTGTCATCGACGCGTCGTGTCGGGATCTGGGTCGCTGGCGACTTCAACGGCTGTCTCAGGGACCTTTGGTGGAGGATCGTCGCCAAGAGGACAACGCTGGCGGTCGCAAAGACAGCCACGAACAATTCAGGTACAGTGGCCATCTCTTTCTAGGCATCGAACGGATTTCGGCGCGGGAAGTACACGGTGCGATCGAGTGTTGCTTGGGCTCAAATGGGCAGCAACAGGTAAGATGCGAGCGGGGTCCATGTTGTCAGGTGTCATCACCAGCGTCTCGCATGCAGACATCCACGTGACACGAATGAGAATTCCGCCAAGTCTCAGCCTCACCATCAGATGAGGTCGCGATTCAGGCGACTCAGAGTTTTGCTTCACGATCATATCAATGGCCCCGATACCACCTTTCGCTTTAGAACATCAGCTCACGCGGGAGCTAGACGGCCCGGCCCGGCACGTGCCGGGACACCCCCGCGTGTCTTTGGAGGACCCAAGCAAGGTATGGGACTTGCTAGCCAGAGAAATCTGCTCGGACGATCTGGACCAGGTCGCCAAGAGGCTCTGGTGGATGTCAAAACAGGATAACGGAAACATATCGCCTCTCCACCGGCAATTGGTGAAAAGGCGTGCCATCATCGTCACCGAGGACCCAAAGCTTCACTTGGTGTGGATTCACGACCGCATCTTCATCAAGCCGCTCCCGCGATACATCGGCTCGTACGCATTCTGGCAGGACTACCTTTGTGCGGAGGAGGTCGGCGGCGGAGGACGCAAACAGCACATCCGCCGAGCGGCGCTGGGCTACCTGCGGACGTACTACTATCTCGTGAAGCACGAGTCCGACTTGCGCATCGCCCAAGACCCCAGCCTGTGCCTCGTCCCGCCGGACATCACCTGGAAGCAGTTCTGCGACTTCACATCGAGCTTGGGCGACATCGCAGACCGAGACGTCTCCCTGCGCTACACATATGGCGAGATCCGCCTGACGCGACTCAATTTCTACGCTCCGCTCCTCCTCGGCAAGTCGCACTTCCAGAGAGTTGAGTACCAGTACGGGCCGTACTTTGCGCGCTTCTATGGGCCGATCCTGTTCGTGATTGCGGTCGCGTCGGTGGTCCTGAGCGGACTGCAGGTCGTCGTATCGGTCGGGGACGGCGGTGAGGGAGGTTGGAAAGGGGCGGCTCTCTGGATCAGCGTCATGGCTATCGTGTCGTTCTGCAGCCTCATCTTCATTCTGGGCCTCCTCCTGGTGTACAAGGTGGCGAAGGAGTGGAAGTTTGCGATCCGCGACCGCCTCCGACTGTTGGAGGAGAAGCGGGCGGCGGACTAGAGGGTGTTCTGTGGACCCCTTCGAGTTTGACTAGCCGTACGTTACGTCTCAAATATTGCGGTTCGCGCGTGCCAGGATCTGAGAAGTGGGATGGCCTACTCTAGGCCCCAGTGCGGATAGGGTGCGACTCTGCCATTTCGGTTAGACGTAAATCCTCCACGATCACAAATTGCCTCGTAACAATGCATCAATCCCCTAGCATCTTTCTTGTACCGTCTACGTACTCTTCTCCCAGACGGGGAAACAAATTGGAGTTAATACGCCCGAACCACCCAGAAGCCGTCCTGCCCAGGATCCCAACAAGCCGTGCTGGCTAGGGCCCGGGTGAGGCCTTTGGTAGGCACAATGCGCGGCATGGCACTGTGGCTAGCACTGCTTCTGGGTTCAAAGCTAGGTGGTCGACTAAGCATGAACTTGATGTCACGCTTTGCCTACATAGCGTTAGTGCAAAGCTGTTACGATCAGCCCTACCCTAGACTCAAATGAGAACACATGGCCAGCAGACCAAAATATTCATGATACAATACGGTAACATCAAAGGCATTAAATGAACGGCGAACACGTTTTTACGTCACTGATTAATATTTTGTCCTGTTCGGATACAAGTTGTGAACTTAAAATAGATTTCTGGAGGATAGGCTCAATCAAAAATACAGCAAAGGTTTCATGATCGTCCAAATCAACCAAAGAAACCGAAATAAACTCAGATATCCTCCATTGCCCAAGCATTTGCCCTGCGAATCTTTTCAGAACCAATGGCAATTTACTTGGTCACATTATGCATTGTGGTCCTCGTCTTCGTGAACCCGATTGTGAGTTGCTACAGCCGCACGAGTTTCGATGTCTGAATGTACCCCAAAATATACGCAAGGAGGTGCGCATGGAGGAGGACAGTCATTCAGGGATAGAAACGCAGGAATGCTCTTCCTCCCTGGGTAGGTTGGAGTGGTCATAGCGAGAGCATCATCTCCGATCTGGAACAGTCCCAGGCCAACGTCTGCCTTTGGAGGAAACGGCGATAGACTTTGGTCACCGAAACAGGTACCTGGGTCGACGGCACGTAACATGTACCATTCTACATGCTTGCGAAAAGAGGAGATGTATTGTTCATCTTGCTTGACACGAATCTCAATGTCGTAAGTATCAACTTCATTTTGAAAGTCAAAGTTGTACCACATCCTCAATCCTCCAATACCATCTGTCAGAGGCAGAGCTTTCTCTGATACTATCAGCACGTGGTAGTGCGATGTCGCATCCGTGCGCCTTTCTTTGCCTCCGAATATCTTACAAGATGAAGGTTCCACCGTCGCCTGAAAAGTCTCCCAAAATTCCTGCGGATCATGAATCCGACTTCCTAAAAAGGACACAAAGTACATCCTTGCGCTAACTTCGGCCTCGAGACAGTCTGCTCTCAGAAGACGACCAACATTTTCACGGCAAACTTTCGAAAGGCTCATTGTGATAGTTGTGAATAGGTATAACAAAGTAATGGTATATATCAAGTCTGAAAGCTCAGCTAAGGTTGTCTGCCTATGAATGTTACGGAGCATTCGTCCTTCTTATACTCACGGACTTTGCCAGGACGTTCCCCTTTGGCATGACCAGATCGTTCCTCTTGGCATGACCAGATCGTTCCTCGTGTCATGATTGGGCAGCCTGGACACGAACGCGTTTGTGTCTGTTGTAGCTAGTTGAACAGGCGGTCGACCATGGCAGTATATGGTAAGGGATCAATGTTCTTCCGACATGAGAAGCTAATCAACATTTGCAAGCTCAGCTTCCTTGCCGATCGCCTCTCGACCGTTACAATGCACCAAACACCCAAAACTGTATTATTTATCCTACATTATCTCGCAGTTACCAGATGCTTGTACCTAGTTATGCGTTCTTCACACCAACAGCTTGGGCATTGGTACGAGGATGAACGCTTTTCGCTTCACGACTGAACAATCGACATCCTCAAAGCATTCAAGAATGGCTACAATCACCATCTTCTCGAGATGCGATTGAGGCTCACGTTCGGCTACACCCATGTCGATATCGTATGACGAGCGTTGAACTTCAAAGTCAACGGAAGCAAGTGAACTGAGGATCTAGGTTGCAAGGACAGTTTGAAGATCGACTTCATTGAGCGGTTGTGGGGGCAGCGGGCTGATTTTATGACAATGCACAACTGAGACATTCCATGAGACCTAGGTGCTGGTCCCTTTCGGGGAATTATCATGTCTACGTTATCAGGAGGGTGTTTTCTGAGTTGCATAACCCCAAAAAAAAAGGCAATTTGTTGTTGTACGCGGTGCGCAGCTTGGCTGATTTGCACATACATATAACAGGGATTTAGACAGCTGTCAGTTTGTAGGAACTTGTTTCTGACTTGGCAAAAACGCGCGAAACAGTTTTGAGGAAACCGTTACCGGGTTTCAGGCAGGTCGTCCACCTGAAAGTGGAGTAAGGAAAAGTATAAAATGCGAGACATCGCTCCCAGTCGCGCAACACGACGCAGAAGGGATCCACAGCACATCATAGTCAATATGCATGAGCTCGTGAACGTTGATGACGAGCAGGCTGGAGTCCCTCGTGTAACACGTATGATGGGCGACATCACCATAACTTCCAAGCCTCCTCCGTGCGAGTATAACGATGGCACACTAGAATCACTGCCGAGCTTCGAATTTAGCGCGAGATGGCCATCTCCAATTAGCCAAAAGAGTCTGACACAAACAAAGCCAACAGGAGAAACGCCCTACAATATTTCACGCAGAAAACATCGTCATGGAGAAAGGTAAGACCTATTCGCATTTGACGGTGGACTATTTGAAGAACAGACATCACAATCCGATATGCCACCGAAATCGCCTCCTACCGACAAAGGCGAGCGCTAAAACACGAGTAACAGCACGTATGAACACGTGGAGCCGCAAACTGGTCGGCCCCAATCCGATGGCTTTTTTTGCCACGAATTGCGTAGAAGTGATCACAGATTGGATTTCACTACTCCGTGTAACTACGCTACCAAGCGATATTCGGAGTTCAGACACGCGTATTATCAATGCTTTTAAAGCGGTAGATAGCATCATTTGCGGAAAAGCAACTACATACAGGCTCCGACGATTGGCATACGTGCAATTAACGCGAATTTTCAAAATTCTTGAATACAGCATCAAGTCGGAGAGAGAATCGAAGCAGGTCCGTCGTGAACCCTGCCGACGCGACGCAAGCGTTGCCCTCGACATATACATGATGGCTCAGGAGAATTGCGGATCCCCAAGTGCTTCAAGGCGCGCGTTGTAGGAACGTAAACGGACCAGTAGAAGCTGGAACGACATGGCAGGGCCGTCACCCCTCTTTACTATGATGTACTCGGAGGCTGCTGAGCAGATTGTGTACGTATTTGCCCTTGGATTGGACGAGGTTTGACACTGACTGCTTAACAGCCGGGACGTTGGGCGGCAAGACAGTGCCAGCCTAAAAGTCGTGGCGGCTAGCGTTCTAGCGCGTTCAAAACAAGCCGTCCGGATCTGTAGATGCCTGGCCGATACCGCAGAATGGGCTGTCAAATGCGACTGCTCATTCGACATGCGGCAGATTGTGGCCACACAAATTAGACAAGCTATGTGTCAAAACGTGTGATGTTCTTCACCAGGGGTGCGGCGATTGTCGCTGTGAGATAAATCTCGCGAGAGTGGTTTGTCTTTCCAATAGGCTATATGGTGGGGGCGCCATGTCGTGCGGTAGGGCCAGGTTGCGTGGTTATGCGTTGTGAGCTGGCCACTGTTAGGGGGTACTAGGCCTTAGCTACTGAGGAGCACCACGCACCTGCCATAAGCTGGAGCAAGCGCTCGTCGCGAGGCGAAGCATCAAGCGCTTGTCGCTGTATGGAGCACCTAGCACCAGCTGCTCCTCAGGTCACCCAATGCTTGGTAATGAACGATGCTCTAAGCGCTGGCCACTCAGTTCTGCTTTGCTATTTTTAAATTCTTTCATCAAGGCAAAAAATAAATAAATAGATAAATAAAAAGTCTGTATCAAGTTTATAGAACGGGGTACAGGAGTAATACATACCTTTTAGACATTATATCACTTCTTGTAACGTAGTCAACACAAATAGGTACGACATGGTCCTTGTAATCAGTCGTAAGCAGACCGCATTCTTTATCCAAAGCGGGTACCGCCAAAAACAAAAGCACTCATACGGCTATTTAATCAGCAGCACGTCACAATCAGACGGGAATGCACAACCAGAAACAGTAGTTGGAAACAAGAACTGGTGCTTGAGAAAGGCCTCGTACACTAACTGACACCCACTCTCCTCTGCTATTTAGATGACGAGCCCCCTCTCCAAACTATGCTAGTTCTAACTCTTATTTACTCATTGAATGAGCCAAGATGCGAGCGCTCTCGTTATTCGAAGGCCAGCTCCCCGGTGACGCGATGGAACTTGATTCTATCTTAGACAAGACCTCTGAGGTTTGTTGCGAACTTTCCATCAATCGTCAACATCAGAAGACCTCGGATAACATGACAAAGCGCATCGCCACGTCAACCGCTGGCCGTTGGAAAGGTCTAAAAAAGCGACAATTTAAGCGGCAGATAAAAGATCTCGAAGCCTCGCGCTTAAGGCAAAAAACATTGGTGCCTCTACTTTGTGATGCGCTTCTGGGCAGCAATCCTTCCAGCGCGTTATCCATGAACTACCAGGCGGTCATGGCGGATTGGAACACGCTGTTAGCAGAGACATCTGTGCCTGTAAACGCCCCCAGCTCTAGCCCCTACATCATTCACGCATTCAAATTTATAGACAACGTGGTTTCTTCAGAGCAAAGCTCTTATCTGCTTCGACGGTTGGCCTACGCACAGCTGATGCGGCTTTTTATTGCGCTCGAAGATACTATTAGAGTCGAGAGAGAATCGGGACAGATGATACGAGGTCACCACTATCGTAACGCCAGTATTGCTCTGGACATATACGTGAGCGCCCAAAGTGACACGTCTGATCCAGATGAGCTCCGTCGCAAATTACGGAAGCGCAGACGCTCAGGCAGGACATGGGGAGGCCTTTGTAAGCCATCACCACTTCTCGTGCTGATGTACTCTAGTTCTGCTGAACAAATTATGTGAGTCCTCTATCTCGGATATCTATATCCCGGCTTGTGCTGACTGGGTATTTCTGTAGAGATGATTTGGAGAAAGTAGATAATGTGACCCTTCGATTGACAGCAACAAGAATCCTGGCAGAGTGCCCAGCTGAGATTTTACATTTTTGTAATGATCGAAGCCCGCCGGTGGCTATATGGGGTAGTAAAAAATGACGACATGAATGGGAACTGGGACTTGGCAAACTTCAATGTATGCGATTGTTTTTATTAGGTAGATTCTTCTGGAGGTAGCCCAATCATCCAGTATCATTTTTGAACGAGACCCTGGCTTCTTTGCTTATCACGACGTGATCAATTGCTGAACGCGTGGCCACCATTTTCTCCACTTCTTGGGCTGCCCCCGATTGGTGAGCTTGTTTGTTAAATCTTGACCAATCCGCGCGCCCTTGACAGGGGCATCACCTCAGCAACGGCAGCTCCTTTTGTCAGCACTCGTTGGAAACAACGATTCTGACGCACCAAACTAATTGTTTGCATCAAAAGCACGCGGCAAATATCCGATGGCCGACCGAAAGAGCGCGGATGAGCTGGAGCGACTTCTCCAAGAGGCTATCCAACGCGCTGAAGATGCAGAGAGAGAACGGCAAGACGAACGTCGACGTGCTGAAGAGCAACGGCAACGCGCCGAAGATGCAGAGAGGGAACGGCAAGAAGAACGACAACGCGCTGAGAAGGAGCGGCAACGCGCTGATGCATCAGAGGAACAGACACGACGCACGACAATCGAAGAATACATGACCGCTTGCCATACGTCCGTCTTCTCTAGATTCACCATCGAAACAGATCCGAAACAGTCTTCAAAGGGCTCCATCACTAACCCCCGTAACAAATGGTGTCCCAAAAACCTACAGCCATGGACCAGTTTTATCCACGAACAAAGGCTCACCTTTGGCATACTCAACGATACATTCCCGATCGATAGCCGCCTTTTCGAGAACCGTGCTTTCTTGGCCGGGCTGGGTGATAGAGTCTCCCAGCGGCGGATAGCAGACGAAAAGTCGCTCGAGTACTTCTTACACAACAGCGTGGAGGATCCAGTCAGAGTCATCATACAACAACTCAAGGAGGTTGAAACGGTCACAGCAGCCTTCGAAATTGGAGATGGCATTGTGTTTGAGAATCATCCCCATGCTCTTGGTGACACTGCCGAGGAGGTGGTTGAAAGAGAGACCCCAGCAACGCCTCGGACGCCGGATCATGGACGAGATCTCAACCAACTGCGACCAGATCAGATATGTGTTACCCGATCTAGCAATGAAGCCTCCGCACCGAGCACGATGGTATATATTTCCGAATACAAGTCACCCTGTAAATTGACTGCTCAACATCTGCGGATCGGCCTCCGCGAGATGGATATTCATAAGGAAGTGGTGAATCGCAAGACCATCCCGACATCTATGGACCCGGACGGGCTGTTTCGATATCATGCAGAGAGACTGACTGCGTCTGCCATCACGCAGACATATCACTATATGATTGAGAGCGGTCTTGAATACGGCAACCTGACCATCGGCGAAGCTACTGTCTTCCTAAAGATTGACTGGAATGAACCTGAAACTCTTCTTTATCATCTGGCGGAACCCAAATACGAAGTGTCGGCGCACCCGGATAGCTTTCACATCTGTACGGCTGTCGGCCAATACCTAGCCTTCACACTGATGGCACTTGGCTCACCTGGAGAGCAACACGAACATGGACAGGAGGAACGTCGAAGGGCAATGAACAACCTGAAGACATGGGCAGAAGATTTCGAGACAACATTACGCTCGATCCCTGAAAACGAACGATCAGCATCATCGGAGTATTCACCTGATTTCCAACCAACCACTTACAACGGAATCGAGCGATCGCCGTACCTCTTGCGCAGAAGAAGACGGAGAGCTGCTGAGCCGCAAATCGACGAAATATCATCGAGAAGGAACGATAGACGAGAACCCTCGGATGATGAGTCGACTAGGCCGCCGGATACTCCAACCCCAGCAGGACGGAGTACAGGACAAGCGAGTCGGCGGAGCCAACGACTGGCAAACCGGCCCCGTGGAGATAGTCACCAACAAGGCCGCCAGTATTGTACTCAAAAATGCCTTCTCGGTCTGGTACGGGGAGGTTCTCTCGATCCTAGATGCCCTAATATTGCTCTCCACTGCAGTAACCTCCCTACACAAACATGTCATCCCGTCAGTCATAGCAAATGGCTTGCACTTCTCCAGGAACAGCTAGAGCGATCGCTAGACGAAGGAATCACGCGATTGAGACAAGGTGGCAGTCGCGGCGTTCTTTTTAAAGTTACTCTACTAGCTTATGGCTACACGTTTCTCAGCAAGGGCACGGTGCGGGCCTTTGTAAGTGATCTGACACATGAGGCTGCGGTATATGACCGCTTGAGCCCACTTCAAGGACGCAACGTGCCCGTATTTCTAGGCGCAATAGACCTTCGATCGATAAACAAGGTCTACTACTACTTCCACCGGGTCTATGTGGTGCATATGACATTACTGTCCTGGGGCGGAGACGGTCTCATCGACGCATGGGAGTCTAGCGACGCACCAAAGAATCTCGAGAAAATGGCCGTCGCATCATTACGAGCCATGCATCAAAAGGGAGTGATTCATAGGGATGGTCGGTTAGAAAACATGCTATTTAATCGGGAAGTCAATATGGTTATGATGATTGATTTTGAGAGGGCATCACTTGTCCAGCCACCCAGGCTTCCATTGGCTCAACTAGTGCCAAACAAACGCAAACAGAGGTCAGAAGAAAGAGAAAGCAAGAAAGCGGTCGTGTTGTCCTGCAATGCGCATCGAGCCAGCAGCGGGTTCTCAGAGGATATTATTAATGCGAGGATGGTGTTCCGGGATTTGGCATCGCCGCCGTACGGGATCGCGAAGTAGCTAAATAATTACAAATGCGCCCACAACAAATGTATTGTGAAACGCGTGACTTGTGAAAACTCTTTGGCCTTGCGGCATAACGGGCAATGGAGTGATCCTTGCGGGGTTTTAAAGTCGTGTGGAAGTGGCCTAATCCCTGGGTTTGGGGACTTGTCGGCAAGCTGATCCATGAGACGTTGCGGGAGGTTCTTTGGCCACTCAAAAAGACCCAATTGCGCCCCATACTCGCTTGTATGTATGTC